GTGTGTCTCTCTCTGTCAAATAAATAAAATCTTTAAAAAAAAAAACAAAACCCACATTTAATCCAAAATACCTTAGGAATTGGGATTTGAGATTCACTCACAAATATTTAAACTCAATATATTACTAAATTGTGGCTGGTGGGTAACATACCTATTCTGTGATAAACATTTATTTATGAAGTGGGTTTTTGGGGGACTGGAAGTTTGATGAAACCTTTCAACCGTTAAATGTTAAATAAACATTTGAAAGTCTTCATGTTCAACTGAAGCATGTATTAGCCTGGGCACTAACCCCTTCTGCAACCCAAGCTCAGCTCCGCTATAATCATGCACCTTGCTCATTAATCCTCAGGGATGCCGTAGTGTACAAAGAATAATAACCCATAGCCAAGCAGTTAAACCTGGCAGGAAGCTAAGAAATACCTATCTAATAGAAAGGTTCACTTGATTATAGCAACCTTTTAGCTGGAAAATGATGAAACATTAAAAAAAAAAAGATATAATAGATACAGTTCCAGATATTATCCTTTGGTTGTTATTCTTCTACCTGACAAGCCTAAGAGATAACAAGATGTGGCCAGTTGGCTGACTTCTTACATCTTAATTTGAGACATAGTTACGGTAGGTTTAAAAGATTTAGGTTTTCATAAGTAATTTATGAATTTCTATGAGACTTTTCAAGATACCTCATGCAATATCTTGAGATAACATCATGTAATTCTAAATATCCATGATAACGGGAAAAGGGAATGACAGTGGCCTAGAACAGTGTCTGTCATTCAGCAGCCTCTCAAAAATTATCTGGATTGAATGGAGGAAGAGTTTTAAAAACTTTACGTGAGTTTTGTGGTCAAATAGACAGGACTGAGATTCAGTAGACTTGGTCCTGTGGTTCTACTACTCCTCTGTGATCCTGGGCAATTTAAGTAACTGGCTTGTATCTTCAATTCATCCTTAAGTGGCCTTAATAAACACGTGCGCTGGCTACTTGATAGGATCCCTATGGAGGGATGACAGATTAAATAATGCCCATGAAAGCCTCTGAAAAGTCAAAAAAGCTAACTACATATGAAAAGGCATCACTAGTCACACAGAATTGAACACATGGGCTCATTTCTGTCCTGCAGCAGAATCAGAGGTCAAAGAGGTGAGAGTCCGGCTTTTTGGCCAATGTCTCTAAAAATTTCCCCATGTGCGGCGCCTGGTTGGCTCAGTCGTTAAGAGTCTGCCTTTGGCTCAGGTCATGATCCCAGGGTCCTGGGATCAAGCCCCGCATCCAGCCCCGCATCCAGCCCCGCATCCATGGGGCTCCCTGCTCAGCGGGAAGCATGCTTCTCCCTCTCCCACTCCCCCTGTTTGTGGGCCCTCTCTCTCTGTCAAAAAATAAATAAAAATCTTTAAAAGAAAAAAATACAGGAAGCCCAGTTACATCTGAATCTCCAATACACAGTGAATAAATTAAAAAATAAATAAATAAAAATTTCCCCATGTGGTGATCAGTGATAAAACTGCAGTCTGTGTACACTGTTGAAATCTTGGTCAGTGGTTCAAAAAAAAAAGCGTTTCTCTTATTCTTTCAGATAGGCACGGCAACACCCCCGATCACTCGGTAGGAGCACTTAGAACTACGAAAATAGGGTCAGTCAACAAAAGATTTCTCATTCTTGAAATACTGTAACAAGGAGTCAGGAAAAAGGGTTCTTAGTGGGATCCATAGACCCTGGGGAGTCCATAGATGGGCTTCAGGAGATCTGTGAACTTTTCAAAATTCCATGCACAACACTGTATTCTAGGGAAGAGGTTCATAGTTTTTTCAAAGTGTTCGGACACTCCCCAAGAGTTAAAAAACACCGATTGAGTAGACTCAAGCAAGTGTTCTGAAGATAACAATGATTCAGGTATTTTTCTTTGTCTCCTCTTTAATGGTTATTTACATGATTCTCTTTTTACTCCTCATTTTTCACTAGTGTGTATCAAAGCTACTGTGAAGGCAATCAGGGCCTCTTAGGTTAGTTGGTAGAGGGCAAAGCAAATGAGAGTCATGAATAAAAAATAAAGATAGAGTCACTAGTGTTGCTCTGATCACAGTTATCTTCGGGAAAAAGAAAAGAAAAAGCAACAAATTCCCTTTTGCATTTTTTTAGGGACATAGGAAAATGGGGCTAGGTATGTTTTTATGTATACACGTACATCTACAGAGGTGGACCTGAAGATAGGAAAAATTATCGTCTTGAGAACTGAGAATGAGGTAAGAGTAGAAAGGCAATCTGTAAACAGTCTAGAAAATTCAAGTGCAAAAAGTAACTACTAACTCAGACAAATGTCTTTAGTTATCCATCTTTTTATGACCACTCCAACTGAACTAGTTTCCAGCTTGAGAACACAGTGGAGACTCAATTTTTAAAATATTATGTATAATAAAAATAACAAATCAGAGAGTTTCAACCGAGGATGAAGTAAATTGAATTCCAATCTCAGTAAATGTTAGGAAAAAAAAAAGCAACAATGATTTTGAAATACTTGTGTCATGACCAGAAATGAACTTTCAGGAAAAGGAAAAGGTTTTCTATGATATTTTAAAATACTAATGGGCCTGAACATTACTAATCTGTCCAGGAGAAAAAAATTATGCATAGCAGAACCAAAGTTATGCTAAATTAAATTATGTCCTGGTTTTATCCTGCTGAACTATACGAAGAGATGGTTCGCCACGTATCTGGGGAAGTTGGCTGCTTTCTGCTCCAGTAAATTCGTGTTCTTTGCTCGGTAGGAACTATTGCAGCTTTTGCCAATGGAACTCATGATCCGGCTAAATTGTGATGCACAACATAGTAATTCAATAATTTAAGGGAAATGAAAACAAACCAAGATCCAGTTTTCTGACATTTCTGGATGAAATCTTTCCCTCAAGCCACAGGGAGATGATCCACAGATTGTCATGATAGTATGGTTTTCAAAAATTCAAGTACCAGTGACAAAAGAATAGAGATTTTGGGAAATGATTTTAGAATGCACTAGAAAATGTAAAGTTGATAACTGTATTTAGTGACAGCTTTGAATGTAAATTTGAGACCCTTAAAATAAATATAAAACAAGCTATATTCTTTGCTTAAAAACAATCTATATAGTTTTAGATGTGCCAAAACAGGTTTAAAAAACTTGTCTCAGAAATTTTAAGGTCAGGGGAGCCTGGGTGGCTGAGTTAGTTGAGTGCCTGACTCTTGATTTTGGCTTAGGTCATGACCTCAGGGTCATGGGATGGAGCCCTGAGTCAGGCTCCGCACTCAGCGGGGAGTCTGCTTGAGATTCTCTCTCTCTCTCTCTCCCTCTGCCCCTGCCCTCCTGCACACTCTCTCTCTCTTTCTAAAATAAATAAATCAATCTTAAAAAAAAAAAAAGAAATTTTAAGGTCAAATTACAAAAGAGAAATGAGAAAAGGAGCTCCTTGATAGCTTTCTGCTTAGATAACTACCCTGTAAATCTGAAATGAATTAAACACTTTTTGATTTGCTAATGTCCTAAAATGCACAAAGCACTATTAATGAAAGCTGCATGCAACATCTTGGTCACTTTTACTGTAACTAATGAATAATGTTTGTTAAAACACAATGTGGAACATGAGAGAATTTAGTTTAATAGCAGGTTACAATGTGGCTGGGATTATGGGAAAAGAACAGATAATGAATAGAAAGCTCTACCAGAATTACAGTAATATTTCAGTATGTACTAACATGCACATCACTTCTACAGATAATTAAGAAACCATTTAAAGAATGAACAGTCTTAGTGAATGGTTTTGGTTTACATCTCAGAAAATAAGAAATTTGGTTTACATCTCAGAAAATAAGAAATTAGCTTAGAAAAATCACAAAATAAGCAGCATTCACATGCCTCATTTCTCCTCTGAAGGGGCTTGTTCCAGAAGGACAGGTTAGGTGCAGTTAATGGAAACTGTCCACTGTCGAGGGCTCCACGAAGCAAGTTTATTACTTTTCTTAATAGTGACACATTGGAAAAATTACCTTTTAAATAGTCATCTTTGCATCTCAAATCATTTCTTCATTTCTCTTCCTACGACAATGATCTACTTTCCTTATATAATGAGAAATGTCAAGGGATTCCCCAGATGGAGTTCTTGAGGCTTAAAGAGGAAACGTAGGGAGCTGGTTTCAACAGCGGCATACTCGTCTATCCTTTAAAGAAACACTGTGGTGTACTATGTTTTTAATGAAAAACAAAAATAAAAGCTCTCCTGGTAGCCAGAAATAACTATAATCACAACTAAGCACTGGGGCATAATGGGCTATTTCACATTTCAAACAGGCCTCACAGTTCAGGTCTGAGCCCATTTCCAGAGACTACTGCCAAAGGCAAGGACGGGGGACATCAGAGCCAATTAAAAGGGCCCTGGGGAAATCCCTCCCCATTCTGTGAAGGTGAGTTTAAGGAACCCCGACCTAACCAGTGAATCCTCTGGAACCTGTGCTTTGATCCTGAAGTGAGGTCGCTGTATCTTATTCTAAAATGCCCAACGTTTTGAGGTTTTCAGTAAATCTGGTTATTCCTCTGATTTCTAGACCCCTTTTATGACAAAATTCTACCCTTTTTCTTTTGCTTGCTTTTTAACACCCCTCTTTCTTCTCTATCTTCGCAATCCGTCTGCCAGAAAATAAAGACATTTTAGCTACCTATTCAGACCAGCCTGCAAAATGCCACAGGATCATTTGATCTCTACCATCCTGGGATTTCGTGCAACTTTGCCTAATTGTCAGTGTAGCACACTGTCGGTCACGTTTTGCTTCTGTATGGTTTTTTTTTTTTTTTTAAAGAGCAGCCATGTTTAATATTGTGAAATACGATGTGTCTCCTCCGTGCCCCACCCTCTAGAACAGTGATACATTTCAGCGCACGCTCAGCAGAATTGGATTGTATTATGCACAGTACACATGTTCATTACCAAAACCGTACTTGCTGGAATGGATGCAAGGAGAATGAACTGCTGAGACTTCAGAATCCCAGTTCCTCAGAACCACTTTTATTAGCCAATGTATACCAAAGACGGGTGGTAAAAGAAGTATTATTTTTGCAGTTTTCCTTCATCATTGATGCTCTCTGATGTTACAGAGTGTGGTTTTCCAGTCTTTTGATTAAGCCTTGCCAGTCGTGTGCTGCTGCAACACGGAAGACACAGCTTTGCAACCTGTCACCTCTTCCGGCAGGCAGCCGTCCTGGTCTCGGAGAGCGGGGTCGGCGCCGGACTGGAGTAGCAGCTCCACGATGTCCAAAAACTCGCAGGCAGCAGCTGACGGGGAAATGGACAGACAGGAAAAGAAGGCTACTGTGAGACGAAGGGAAATGACTGTACTCCAGCAGGAAAGGCAAGGGCTGAGCAGTAAAGGATCCTGAACAGTGAGAAATGTTCCAGCGGCCGGTGGGTGGGTGATCGGGCCTTGTGAGGAGAGCTGGGCCATGAGAGTACATTCTCAAGTGTTAGGAAAATCAAATTCACCTTTTTTGGTTGCCCAGAAGCAAACAAACAAACACATTTTTAAAACTGTGAGGTTTTTAGGGGCGCCAGGGTGGTTCAATCGGTTAAGCGTCTGCCTTCGGCTCAGGTCATGATCCCGGGGTCCTGGGATCGAGTCCCGCGTCGGGCTCCCTGCTCAGTGGCGGGGGGGGGGGGGGGGGCTGCTTCTCCCTCTGCCTGCCGCTCTGCCTACTTGTGCTCTCTTTGTCAAATAAATAAATAAAATCTTTAAAAGAAAAAAAAACCTGTGAGGTTTTTAGACTCTCTTAAGAATGGGATGAGGGAGAGAACAAAAATAGTGTTTATGTATTTTACTTTGATCAGAATAATGATAGGTTTGTAGACCATGTCAAAAGGCTAAAAATATGTAAATGTAAAAGGAAAGATTTCGTTTTGTTTTTGAAGAGGGGGTTAAATGGGTAACTAACTAAACTTTAAAATTTGCAAATAAAAAAAAAACTGGCCTAGGAATCATACCATCCCTCTACAGAACTGTTATTTATTTAAAAAAACAACAAATGGCCCAAATCACACAAGACACAGGGAGGGGACAAGGACGTACAGATACGGAGACTCATTATGAAGATGGCATGTATCGCCCCCAGGAGGACACACAGACCAAAGGGCTAGAATGGAGAGCGATCTATGTTTTTGCACATATATGGAAACTTGATTTATGACAACGCTGGCGTCGCAGATCAGCAAGGAAACAAAGATCCATTAATTCAGATGCACTGAAACAACTGGGCTAAAGGCAAAAACAGGCATTTCATACAAGATGAAACAGAAATGGCAATAAACATATGAAAAGATGAACAACCACATTAGTAGTCAGGGAAATGAAAATTAAAACTCGGAGATACCGTTTCATACCCAGTAGAGAGGTGGAAATTAAGAACAGACAGTACGAAGGTACGGAAGAGGGCTGGGGCGGGGGACGCTCCCCTCCGGACGGCCCGAGTGCACGCTGGTGCGGTCACCACGGGCAACAGCTTGTGTTAAACCTAACACACGTGGGCCCTGCGCCCAGCCATCCCACTCCTACTTACACACTCCAGAGAAACTTGTGTGTGGTTCCCTAGGAGACGTTTGCAACAATGTGTGTAGCAGCGCTATTCCCATTCGTGATAGACCCCAAAGGTCAACAACCCAAATGCCCATTAAGAATAACATGTGAAAATAAAACTGTTTACTTCTTCAATAAAATCCCATACAACACTGAAAAGTCATGAACTATACTTTTATACACGAGTGTACCTCCAGAACATAATGTTGAAGGAAAGAGGCGAGTCAGAAGAATACATACAGTATGGTTCCACTTAAACAAAATTTTAAAAATAGACCAAACTAAACACCATGTTCAGAGAGACAAATATGTAGTAAAACGATAAGGGAAATCATTACTATAAAATTTGGGATAGTGTTAATCTTGGGAGAGGGGATGGAGGGAAGGCCATGCGATTGGATAAGCACACCCAGGAGGTTTCAGAGATATTGGCAATGTTGCATTTCTTAAGCTAGGTGGTGGGTATATTTTTTTCAAGTTATATTTTAAATTCTTCATATACATTTTACATACGCTTTCATAGGTGATGTAACATAACAGCAACAACAAAAGGTCAAAAAAAAAAAAAACAGGGAAAGAAAGAAGGGTAAGGAGTTTGATTCGATGGCCATTTTATTGAGTACATGCCATACCAGTCCTACCAAGGATGCATTAAGATTCCTGCTCTGTGGAACTTACTAACAGCTGGGAGGCTAATATGGAAGTCTGACACTCTTAACACAAAACAGTAACTATTGTAACGCATGCACACACACACACACACACACAAACACACATACAAGCAAAGAGGTGGGGTGGGTGGGTGGAGAAGTCGAGGGATCAGGAAAAATGCAAGTAGGTGGTATGTAAGCTGAGCTCTGAAGGACAGAGTAAAATTCCAGGTAAGTGGAGACAGGCATTGCGGAGAGAAACCACCACTAATGGAGGGAGTACTGAGGGAACCGTCTGCTGGCTCTGGGAAGGGATACAGACGGTCAAAAGCATACAGGGTGGACTTGAGTCAAACCATGCAGGGCTGTGAGAGCCATACTAAGCCATGCTGAGAAGTGTGGTTTCGAGTGCTCTAGTAAAGTTTGCATTTATAAGGAAGGGAGTGGCATAATTTGGCCTCCGTGTTAGGATGAAAATTCTCAAAGAGTGACTTGGACAGCCTAAAAATTTGTGGCAGGTAGACCACGTAGGAGACTATGACTATTTTAGGAGGCTTGAAATTAGCCAGTGTCAGCATTAATATAAAGAATGGACTGAATAAGAGCCACTGAAATTCATGTGGTTAGGACACAGCAAAGTACTGGATAGACTTAAAAAAAAACTGTTTGTGAACACTAAATTTAATAATTAATGAAGCTGATATAATATATTTACAGTTAAACATTTAATTATTTATATTTTGCAATTTTCATTTTGTTTTTTGGAACAAAAATATTTTATTTCAGGTTTCAAATATTTTTAGAGGTTTCTGAAAAGCTCACAGGCCCCCCACTTGTGATCACAATGTTCACTGAATAAAATGGCCTGAGTTTTTCTATACTTGATATGAAACCCAGACACCATAAAGAAAATTACTCATAAATCTGAATACATAGAAACCTAAAATTGAGGGGCGCCTGGGTGGCTCAGTTGGTTAAGTGGCTGCCTTCGGCTCAGGTGATGATCCCAGAGTCCTGGGATTGAGCTCCGCATCGGGCTCCCTGCTCAGCGGAGAGCCTGCTTCTCCCTCTCCCTCTGCCTGCCTCTCTGCCTACTTATGCTATCTGTCAAATAAATAAAATCTTAAAAAAAAAAAGAAACCTAAAATTAATAAATATGAACACGTAAAAATTTGTAAAACAGCTATACCACACACAAACAAAATATGATATATAAAGGTAAATCATAAACTGGAGCATAAACACATACAAGAGCTAATACCCTTAATATCTAAAAAGCATTAACAAATCAATCCAAAAGAACAATGGGCAGGGGTGCCTGGGTGGCTTAGCTGGTTAAGCGCCTGAGTCTTGATTTTGGGTCAGCTCATGATCTCAGGGTTGTGAGATCAAGCCCTATGTCAGGGTCTGCGCTGGGCGTGAAGCCTCCTTAAGATTCTGTCTCTCCTCTCCTTCTGCTCCTCCCCCCACTCTCTTTAAAAAAAAAGAATGGGCAAAAGTATTACAGGAACCAAAGATGATACCCATGTTTTCAGTCTGGGAGACTTGTGCTCTGTCTCTCTCTCTCAAATAAATAAAATCTTAAGAAAAAAAGATTTTATTTATTTATTTGAAAGAGAGAGAAAATGAGCCAGGCAGGAGGGGCAGCGGGAGAGGGAGAAGCAGGCTCCCCATTAAGCAGGGAGCCCTATGCAGGGGTTAATCCCAGGACCCCTAGATCACGACCTGAGCTGAAGGCAGATGCTTACCCGACTGAGTCAACCAGGAGCCCCTCAAATAAATAAAATCTTAAAAAAACATATATAAATAACTCTTAAAGCTCAACAATAAGAAAACAAGTAACTGGATTAAAAATTGGGCCAAAGACCTTAACTGACATCTCACCACACAAGATATACATATGGCAATTAAGCTTATGAAAAGGTATTCCACATCATATGATCAGGGAAATGCAAATTAAAAGAACATTGAGATACCACTACACACCTATTAGACTGGCCAAAATGTGGAACACTGGCAACACCAAATGCTGGTGAGGATCTGGAGCAACAGGAACTCACTCATTGCTGGTGGGAATGCAAAAGGACACAGACATTTGGAAAACAGTGTGGTGGTTTCTTATAAAACTAAATATACCCTTATCATATGATCCGGCAACCATGCTCCTCAGTATCTACCCAAAGGAGCTAAAAACTTATGTCCACTCAAAAATCTGCACATGAATGTTTATAGCAGCTTAAATCATAATTGCCAAAACTTGGAAGCAACCAAGATGTCCTTTAGTAGGTGAATGGATAAATAAGCTATGGTGCATCCAGATAATGTATTACTCAACACTAATGAGCTATCAAGCTAACAAAGGACATGGAGAAACCTTAAATATTACTAAGAGAAGCCATTCTGAAAAGGTTATCTACTGTATGATTCCAACAATATGAACATTCTGGAAAAGGCAAAACTATGGAAATAGTAAAAAGATCAGTGGTTACCAGAGGCTGGGGGTGAGGGAGGGATAAACAGGTAGAGCACAGTAGAATTTTAGGGCAGAGAAAATACTCTGGATGATATCATAATGACGGATACACATCATTTTACATTTATCCATAGAATACACGATGCCAAGAGTGAATCATAATGTAAACTTTGGGTGATTATGACATATTTTGATATGATAATAATTTTATGGTATGTAGCTTCATCAACTGTAACAAATGTACCACTCTGATGAGGGATGTTGACAATGAAAGTGTGAAACGACAGAAAAAATATACATTGGTCTCTGTCCCCAGTTCCTGGCACAGAGCTCCTAAAACCCCCGGCCTTTCCTAAGTGCAGGAGCACTAGAGGCATCTTTTGTTCTAACGCTTAGTCTTTGACCCTGGTTCCTGACAGAGCTCCTCAATCACTTGGAATTTCCCAGGTGACAGGCGTATCTTTTGTTCTAATGAGGTGACTCTTGGTGGGCTCCTGGATTGCTTCAGGGAGGGGGCTGGTCCCCAAAAAGACCCAACCATGATTAGAAGCTTGTAACTTTCAGCCCCAACTCCCATCCTCCTCGA